TTTAGGAAGGCAAGTGGGAGGCAAGGGACGGTGGGCTGGATGGTGGTTTTAACACAATAGGGACAGGAATACATGTTTGTGTTCCTGACCCTATAGTGTTCCTTTAACTGTTCATATGCAGAGTTTATAGCATAGGTTTTGAGTGGGAGAGAGTTGTCTGGTGCATCTGAAGGCATTGAATTGATGGTCATTATGGCTTTTGCAGTTTGAGATATTGGTGGAATTTTGACCCGTGGAATTTTGCTGGTTAAGTAACAGACACAACCATATTGTGAATATACTGACTGCAAATAAAGAGCCGAATTGCAGGAGCATTGCAGGCAGATCCGCAACTAATACCTCTGTCAGATCAGAATCAAAGTCGGCTAATAAAGTGCGCCTTCTTTTCATCACCATACAATATTTACGGCTTTACTCGTTCATACAAATTACCTGTAAATACTGTACCTTCTGTTACAAGAAATAGCAAACCGACCGGTTAGTGTCTAACCAGTGTTTGGACTAACTGTTGGTTTCCAAACACTGTCTGACCCATGGTACAGCTATATGGCTGAAGGATCCTGTCATATACTAAAGATAGGGATGAGTTGTATACAAAAAAAAAAAAAATCCTTTATTAGTAAGTCGTTTTAAGTTGACAGTTGTCCTTTAAGGTACTTCAGAGGTTGTGTTGCACAGTCAGTCTATACATTGATACATTTTGTGTATAATGTATGGATTTTGGAGTCCAGGGGGTCCCAGATTATTTTTGATAATTTGTTTAGTGAACTACTTTGAATTGAGTCACATTTATCGCATTTGTATGTGCAGTTAAGACACCTTCATTTTGCATTTGGCTTTATATTCAGTTAATGTGTGTTTGTTTTTGTTTTGTATTTTTTTTATACTTCTTTTGTATATTTGTTTATTTGTGTAAATGTTTTTTCCTTTTATTCCATTTAGATAACCTTCCTTTCTTTGCAAGATGATTAACTCCATCTCTCACGCGTTGGTGATTTTAGGTAAGCAACTTTTTACCTTGCCCTCCGAAAATAAAATTAAGTTGAAACAATCTAAAACATCATAGAAACATAGAATGTGACGGCAGATAAGAACCATTCGGCCCGTCTAGTCTGCCCAATTTTGAAATACTAATAATAATAATGTTTGGCACATTCAGTGCTTTTCATCTAAAATCCAATATTGTTACATGAAGCAAAGTTTTTTTTGTTTTTTTACTAATAATTCCTGCTTAATGGGACATTCCAAGCTCCACATTCATCACAGCATGCTACTGTCAACAATGTAACCATTTTCAGCAGTGTGACACTTGTTAGGGTCACCTGGCCGCCTTCTGGTCTTTTACCTCTCCACAGATAGCACCAAAGTAATAGCAATATCAGTTCTGTCTGTCTTTAGATGGTATTCATTTCATGGAAGCCAATGATTCTCATCCCAAGCTCGGACAGTACTGATATTGCCAATGTGACCATGGGTGCTTGGAAGAGCCAGGTAGGTATTCAAAAATGGCTTGACTCTTATCTGTGAGACATTACCAGGGAAATTCTGGCACCATGCTGTTCAGCCTGTCATAACTGTTTCACATGTGTGCATATTATTTCCTTATGCAAAATAATCATGTATTTTTATGTACATGAGTGGGCCACAATCTTTTACAGTCTGTTTGATTTATTGATGACACCCATCTTCAGGCCTCAACTACCCCTTGCCCCCACATCACTGCTTCTCAAAGCAGGATGCTCCTTCCTGACACTTATATGCCAGCTTCGTTGTCAGTGCATTGGCAACCTGTCACTAAATTCCTATATTTTTGGTGATGTCCTAAACACTCCTCTAATCACAAGCAGAGAATTGTAACAGAACTACATCCCACAGCTGTGCCTCTACTGTAGATGTTATAAAGGAGGGCAGGAGAACCACCTGTCTATTAACTCTAGCCTTCATCCTGTGTTTTTGGCATAGCCATGTATGCAGGGAATTGATGAGGGCAGGAGACCCTAATATTGTGAGCTTTTTTTCATCTCAGTGTTGTCACAGTCCACAAGAATCCATCACTAGTGAGATATGGCTTCCCTCAAATGGAGATGTAGCACCAGTCCTAAATTCCCCAGTTATGGCTCTTCCTCCTTCGGAACTGATTGGACTTTATTGAGCTTTGCAACTTTTATTGTTTTCCACTTTAGTCAAGGTTTTCTGTCAATAAAATGTCAACCCTGGAAAAGCATTATCAAAATGAATATGGGATGGAGAGCGACCTGGGCAAGCAACAGGGCTTTCTTGGAGAGAACTATGCCTGGCCAGCCAATTGGGTTACGATATGTCTATATTTGAAACTCTGCTAACTCATGGCTACCTAAATGTGGCATTTGTAATTGGAAGCAGACCCTGTAAGTGAAATGTGCTGTTTAGTAACTGCTGCCTATTTTAGCCATTGCTTGCCTGCTAGTTGACTACTCTATGCACAGTGCCATTCTGTGACTTCCCAACACATTATTAAAGCTAAGAATGGGGAGGTGGGCTAGTTATGTAAACACATTGTATGCCTTGTGCATTGGCAATGCCTGCCCCCTCATTGTCTGCCATTTCAATATGTTCACAGTAATAGGCAAACTGCCTCTGATGCTGTCCCTATGCCATAGCAGTTTCCTTCTCTTCCATTAATACTATTAACCTCTACTCTACCTGCTCGCAAAGCCTGTCCTCAATCTTTGGGTTTCTGGATTCTTCTAGCTGTGAGGTAGTGGACCCATTGGGCACAGCATTGTGTTCTTAGAGAGGGAACGACTGTGCTACTATAAGGGATTCAGTGAAGATGCTTTTAGGATTCCCTTTTGGTGCCTCCTTGTTTACAATGTATGTGTTTCCTGTTTGGGGTTATTGTGTACAGGATGATTAACTAAGGTCTGCCCCTGGTAGCAGTTCTCATCACTCCCTCTTTCTGGTTCTAGGTGGCCCTGCTGCAACTTTGTAACTGGCCCTCAAGGTTTTTCGTACCATATCTTCCTGTGTGAAGTCTAGCACTGCCAAACTGCCCATCTAGTCTCTCAATACTGATTTCCCTATTTTGAGTTTTCGGGGTTCCTTTCTGTCCCTAAAACTTTCTGATGGGGACTCCTGGGTGGGTTCCTGCTTGCATTCCACTTAGAAATGTTGCACATTTTCACATATTTCCTGGCACTTCTACACAATGCTGGCGATGCGAGTTAAAGGATCATTATTACATATATGGTGGACGTGCAACCGTCTTATTGGACCATGGTGAGCGAAATCCTTGCCCGCTTACTACCCATGCAGATAGAATTAACTCCAGCAGTGTGCCTCCTATACATATGGCCAGAAGGCATGTCCAAAGTCCACACCAAACTATTATTCCACACGATAATATCGGCATGCAACCTCATAGCTAGAACCTGGAAAACACAAGTAGCCCCCACAAAAACCATGTTAGTAAACCAAATCCGAACTCATGGCAACTCAAAAGCTTGGGATACGAGGGGCAACAATAGAGGTGGGACAAATATGGGAAACATACTGGAATATGATGAAACCTCAGATAGCCGGTGTCGAGTAAGAACATATTATATATAGAGACACCACAAGCGGCTACCAAGAGTGAATAGAGGCACAGGGGAGAAAAAGTAAAGGTCCAGGTGCAACCTGTAATACCGAATGCCCACCTAGCGGGCGAGACAACCAACCAAATCATCAACCCACACCAAGTGGATGAAATACGAATAAACGCGATAACACCCACTTGTGTACATAAGTTAAATCCCCCCCCCCACCCATCTATACCCCTCTCCCCTTACCTTACTGCACCGCAGGGCATAGAGGTAACCAAAAAAGGTATAACTACATGGGATGTATGACACGTTTACCCTTGAGACACCTCATGGAAGAGGTAGCAAGTTCATACCATCCAACCTTCCACCATGGCACCAACATTGAATCCACAAAATAAACACAGCACGGGTGGGGTGCGGAGAACAAGAAATGTGATGCAATGCAGCATTAATACCTACCCCCCCCTCTCTTTCTCTCTCGCTGATGTACCCCATTCATGTTAAAAATCTGAGCATGTGGAAGTCGGTCAATGCTGTGAACAACCACCATTACTCTGAAGGATAGTTCCTCCTTTTAAGCGAGACTGTCACTTCTCTGAAAATCATACCGTTGAACAAAACATTGAAATTAATTTATAATTTATGTAACATTTTATTTTCATAGGTTTATGTTCTTTTAAAATGTGAATTTTATGGTGGCTTCAAATGTTCCTTTAGAGCTTGTGGGAATGCTTATAGTTGCAGGGTTTTTTGCCAATCACCTTCGTTAACTAGTAAGTCTCTCTTATTAGGGAGCAGGGTGCTTACTGCATCATTACCTTCACAGCGGTGCACAGCAGTTATAGTGCTTACGTTGACTGCCCTGGGATATGTGGAAACATTGTTAATCTATTAAATGGCCTTAAACAGTTTTGTGAAAATTTCTAAAGGAATTCTAACTCTTAATATTCCGTTTTGTCTGTTCTAAGGCATCTTTGTACGTTCTGTGGCCTTGGATCCAAGCACTGGAGAATGTAAGTGTATTTCAAATCTTTTATCTAAAATATGCTTCTATAGTGGCATTCATTAGTAGTGTGCGATAGGCATGTCCGTTTGCCTACATTTATTATCACTTTGTTTTTATTTATAAAGCACCAAAATACTCTGAAATTCTCTACAAAGATCCAAAGAAATCATGGTAAATTGAAGAACCTGAGTTGTACATCATGAGAGTCCTACTCAAACGAACTTACAGTCCAGACACATGGTCTCATTTAGGGAAAAAAATATATGTACTTTTATTTTCTTTTAAAAAGAAAGAAAAAAGAATTCATAGATTGTGAGATGTTATAACTTAGAACAGGAATAATAAAAAGATACGTTTCTTACATAATGCATTGTGGTATTTAAATAGAAGCCAAACATTTTCCATTTTATTGTATTTAGTAGAACATGTGGCTGCATTGGAACAGTTTGATAAGTAACAATAACTGCAAATGTAGTGATCTTTCCATAATTGCTGCTGCATATTAAACCCAGCTCTGTCTAGAAGATGTTCCCCATATTACAACATACAGAGCGGTTTACAGCTGTCAGTGTCAAAGAATTTTAATGATTAGATTTTGAGTTGTGATGACAGTTATGAAATAGGACAAAATTGGTTCTAAATATTGGAAAAATAGCATAAACACTATGCATTTAATATCATAAACATATTTCCATAATTGTTTGTGATCTTAACGCATCGTTAGTTAATACATCCCTGAGGGCAAATTTTTTCTGAAATCTTGTTTTCCTGATCAACTACTAACCCCATTTCCAAAATGTCCAGTTCTATTCAATGTTATAAACTTTTTATTTTATCCCCAGATGAAGGCTGCTGTTTCATATATTTCAGAGACAATGTAAATGAAACATTTTTTACATAGCTGAGCTGTGCAGAATTTCCGATGGCAAACCATATATTTTACGTGTGCACTTTTTATGCATATGTAAATTGTAAATACATATGTTAAATGCTACGCTTTCAGTTTGGCTACTCTGGCCTTGAATTTGAAATTCCCTTTGAACTTTAGTATATTACCCTGAAGGGTTTCTTACTGTAGCTCAGTGAGAGATGTGACAGCTTAACAAACCTTACTCAAGCTGGCTGGGGTGTTATTCACTCTGAAATCATATGTATCTGTTAAAGGGATACTATAGGCATTCAGACCACTTCAGCTCTGATCGGTGCGGTTACACAAAAGGCGGGAGAGGTTACTTGTCTTACCTCCAGCGCCTCTCCCTCCATGCAGCTCCTAATACAGGGGCCAGGTAAAGCGTTAAGATGGACGCAGCACTATATGATAGCACCTCCCACAATGACGTCACTAATGACTGGAAGTATTTCTACGTTGTTTCGTTAACGTTACCCAGGATGATTGGTTTGACCTCTTGCCCTGGGCAGAATTTGCTCGGAACAAAGCTACGCATGACTCTTCCAAACTTAGTCCTTTTTATGTTGTATATGGTCTCCACCCTGCTGTCTTACCTTCTGTGTTCTCTGATACAGATATCCTCACTCTGGATGAGCATCTGACCTCTATGAGGAAAACATGGGATCAGGTTCATACTGCCTTAGCTGGCACTGCTTCCCGTTTTAAGCAGCATGTTGATAATAGACATAGTGCTGTACCTTTTTATCAAGTAGGGGACAGGGTTTGGCTGTCCACTAAACACATTAGACTCCGGGTACCCTCTATGAAGTTCGCTCCTAGATACATTGGACCTTTCCATGTGTCACATAGAATCAATCCAGTGTCTTATGTCCTTGACCTCCCTGCCAATCTTTGTATACCTCGTACATTTCATGTTTCTTTATTGAAGCCACTTATATACAATAGATACACTACTCCTTACTACTACTACTACTACTACTACTACTACTCTGGTGAATTGGAAGGGTTATGGTCCTGAGGAACGCTCATGGGTTCCTGCTGTTAACATTAATGCTGGATGCCTTCTTTGCTGTTTCCATGCCCTGTAGCCTTATAAGCCTGGTCCTGCATGCCCGGTGGGCAGCCTTTGTGTGGGGGGGTACTGTCACGGTGCCCAATCGGCACCTCAGTGTGGTCACACCATCACAGTGGCCGATCAGCACCACGATGTAACCGCATCTGATCAGTGTGGTCACACCATCACAATGCCCGATCGGCACCGTGATGTGACCGCACCTTACCTCCAGCGCCTCTCCCTATGTGCAGCTCCTAATACAGGGGCCAGGTCCAATGTAAGGAATAATGCCGGCTGCTGCAAGGCGGCGCTATATGATGGTGCTGCCCACAATGACATCACTAGTGACTTAAATGTGTGTCTGGCGTTGCGTTTTCACCATGCACGCACGTTCTGGGGTCACAGGATCCAAATTAGCAAATAGTAGGGTTTACTGGGTTATTTAAACCAAAACCTGCAGTTTTTCAGTGCCCTGTCGTGGTTTCTATCCTGTTGGTTATCCAAGAGCACGTTCCGGATACTGTTTATTGGTTATTGATCTTGGCTTGGCTTGACTTCCCATATTTCTGGTATTCCTGACCCTTTGGCTTTGTTCTTACTGTATTTGTTCCTTTCTGTATTCCTGATCTCGGCTTGTGACTGGTTATTCTATTACGTTGAGAAACTGCAATAATTACCTTGCAGGGTTAACTCCAGTGTTGGTTAAAAGCCCAAAAGGAAAGCATTGATTCAAGGCTAAAGCAATCGCGGCACTCTCCTTGCATGCTCTTAGTGTCGTGTCACCCAGTGCCAATGCATGAGAAAGGAGAGAACCTGAAACGTTTGTATTTCTGTCCTTCCAATAAATGTCTATTGTAACGGCACCCTCAGCATAAAAGGGTTAAACCGCCGTTTAGAAGATCTTCCACTTCCAGAGATACAGGTACAGCTACTGCAGAACTCCAAACTCCCGAACTGCATACAAGGGAATGCCCCAAACTCCCGAACTGCATACAAGGGAATGCTCCAAACTCCCGAACTGCATACAAGGGAATGCTCCAAACTCACGAACTGCATAAAAGGGAATTCTCCAAACTCACGAACTGCATACAAGGGAATGCTTCAAACTCCCAAACTGCATACAAAGTAGCACTCCAAACTCCCGAACTGGAACCTCACGAATAGCTGCTAGCAGACGAACAGGAAAAGCACCCAAGTGGCTTACACTCCTGGCAATCAGTCTCTAACAGCATACAGTAAATCCCCCCAAAGACGAGACAGAGCTCCGTGTTGAGGGTCAAGCAGTGGTCCGTTTAATGAGGGCTACCTGCCCAGTATTTATGCAGGTCTCCCACCTGGTTGACACTCCCCTAGGGGACCAAATGGGAGACTGTGACAAAAGACAGACAGTCAGAAAAATAGGACACACAGTCACATTATATTCCCACAATGCATCCTGGCTTCCTCCCCTCTGCCCTGGAGATAATTATTAGTTAAGCGTCGAACACCGCTGTGCGTTCGAGTGTTTAAAATGGCCTCGACCTCGTGTTCGTTATACGAATGGCGGCCACCCAGTATTCGTCAATTAAGCTGCAGTTAACCGCAGCTTCTGGGAGGCTAATTGCCGGCACACTCCAGCTCCCAGGTCTAGTCATTCGTGCGGTTGTTCGGTAGATTGAATCTACCGAACACCGGGCAGAAAAGCACGAATAAGTCTTTTCTGCAGGGGAAACAAAGTCTTTTAACATGGGGCCATGATCCAAAGGTAGCAGGCGAGCAACCAGGCTTCTCCAATGCAATGTGGCGAGATTGCTCTCGTCACATCTATGTAGCACTTAGTGTGCACACTTTCACTTGATAGCGCTGCCCTCATTTTTTTCTTTCTACTTCTGTTAGTGGTAACCCGGCTTGGAGCTATCAGCTCTAGGAACGGTTTTGTTTAATTTTTCAATTTTGGGTACTGAAGTAACGCTTTCCTCATATTTATTGTGGCCACATAAACTATAGATTGTCTCTCCAAAATATGTTTCCTGACTTTGAGACTCTATTTAACTTTTTCCCAGTTTAATTTTGGTACTATGTATAAATAAGCTGCTTTCGATGTAATAGTCTAAAATACAGCCCTTATTTATGACACATTCACACTTCCAGCTTTTGCATTATTTTTTGTTATAGTATGTGATTCAGGAAGGTTAGTTATGGCTAAAGCAGTACCAATACATCCGCTAAAACTAACATGTTACTTCACTGAGTATTCAATACATGGCTAATGTCTTCTTTTCATTGCTTTGTCTATTGATCTTCATATTCATGCATTTTTACCGTTTTGGTATTACGTGAACGCTTTATGTACTGAGAGTAGATATATAGGTGTCTCCTATTCAGATGTAGGATATGTCTAGTTAAATTGGGTGAAATATATATATATATATTTTTTATTTTTTTTTTATTTATTTTTTCTTCGCTCACAGTAGACTGTAACTCTATCGTAGGTATCTACTTTCCAACGTAAAGGGTGGAAAAGGAATGCAAAGCTACAAAAAGCCCTACAATGCTCCTTCTCTGCCAACAGCTTTTTTTAGAAAAGGGGAATAAATACCGCGGCAGGAGACAGATTATTTATAAAGAAATCAGCAGCACAGCTGGAGAGAGGGGAGAAGAAACTGCAGTCTGCATCCTTGCTACATAGATGAGCCTTTGAACACCATCCCAGATGTACACGGACAGTGTACCAGTACTATACTAGCCATGGATGTTAAACTGATCCACTTTATATAGTATGACAAATAAATGGAACAAAGTAAGATGCTTAGAAATGTTTTTTTACTAGAGGCTTGGTTTTTTGAACCAATATCTTCCATTACGTACCAAACCCAAGAACAGTTGAGTATCTTGTCTGAAATGATAAACATAAAATAATTACTTTACTTTATTCAAAGGACTGGCCTGTGCTCTTTCATGACAAGTGTGCAGGGCCGGACTGGGGATACGAAGCAGCCCTGGAAAAAAATCTATGCCAGCCCCATAAGTCATTGTGCTATGTAGGAGGGTGTATATATATATATATATATATATACACAATTGAAATAGTTGGCTGCACTCTCGGATTTCCTGAAAATGTAACTTTTATTGAAATATTTAAGAGAAGATCAATGTTTCAGTCCCTCTTGTGGACTTTCGTCAGGATCATGACGAAAGTCCACAAGATCTTCTCTTAAATATTTCAATAAAAGTTACATTTTCAGGAAATCCGAGAGTGCAGCCAACTATTTAAATTGCCTATATAGGCAATTTAAATAGTTGGCTGCACACTCATGCTTACTACAGACAAGCTCACTGTACACACATGCTCACCACAGACAGGCTCCGACACACCCATGCTCCTTACAGACAAGCTCACTAACACACACACACATATGATCCCTACAGACAAGCTCACTGACACACATACAAGCTCACTCACTAGCAGGCACACACACACACAAACTCACTAGCAGGCACACACACACACACACACACACACAGGCTCCCTCACTAGCAGATGCGCGCACACACACACAGAGGTAGACAGTCACTGACACCCAGGCAGACAGCCACACACACACACACAGGCAGACAGTCATTGACACCGAGGCAAACACCCACACATACAAAGACAGGCAGACAGCCACACACATACACAGACAGACAGCCACACACTCACACACAGGCAGACAGTCACACACACACACAGACAGTCACACACTCACAGACAGTCACACACTCACAGACAGTCACACACTCACAGGCAGTCACACACAGACAGTCACACACTCACACAGACAGTCACACACTCACACAGTCACACACTCACACAGTCACACACTCACACAGTCACACACTTACACAGGCAGTCACACACAGACAGTCACACACAGACAATCACACACAGACAGTCACACACTCACACAGGCAGTCACACACTCACAGACAGTCACACACTCACACACAGTCACACACACTCACACACAGTCACACACTCACACACAGTCACACACACTCCCAGTCACACACCTACAGACAGTCACACACAGTCACACACTCACAGTCACACACTTACACAGGCAGTCACACACAGACAGTCACACACACAGACCATCACACACAGACAGTCACACACTCACAGGCAGTCGCACACTCACAGGCAGTCACACACTCACACAGAGACAGTCACACACTCACACAGAGACAGTCACACACTCACACACAGTCACACACTCACAGAGACAGTCACACACTCACAGGCAGTCACACAGAGACAGTCACACACACACAGACACACACTCACACAGAGACAGTCACACACTCACACAGACAGTCACACACTCACAGGCAGTCACACAGAGACAGTCACACACTCACACAGAGACAGTCACACACTCACACATACAGTCACAGACTCACATAGAGACAGTCACACACAGACAGTCACACACTCACACTCACACACTGACCTCCTTCTTACCTCCTGTTTGTTGCTCCTGGAGGCTGGTTGTTGGGGAAGCAGGGACTCCTACCTGCTTCCCATGCTGCAGTCAGCCAGGCCCCCGCCGCACGCTAAGCCCCGCCCCCGCCGCACGCTAAGCCCAGTTAGCCCTGCCCCCGTCGCACTAAGCTCCGCCCCCGTCGCACTAAGCTCCGCCCCCGCCGCAATTTTATTTTTTTTTAATGATCCCGGCCGGCTGTGTGTGAGAGCTGTGCCGGCCGGCTCCCCCTGGCTCCCATGGGGCTCTGTGCGGCCGGAGCTGTCAGCCCAATGATTAGGGCTGTCAGACCGGCCCCAGGTGCCGCGGCCCACCGGGAAATTTCCCGGCATCCCGGTGGGCCAGTCCGGCCCTGCCGGTGAGAAGGGGATTGCAATAGTCAAGGCGAGAGAGAACAACAGCATGAACCAGTACCTTAGCCGCGTCCGGCGTTAGATATGGGCGGATGCGCGCTATGTTCTTGAGTTGGAAGCGACAGGATTTGGCTATTGATTGAACATGGGGAGTAAAAGAGAGATCAGAATCAAAAAGAACCCCTAGGCAGTGAGCCTGGGAGGTAGAGGTGATAGTAGCGCCGTTGACTTGGATGGAGACAGACACAGGAGTAGCAGCACTTGAGGGAGGAAAAACTAGAAGTTCTGTTTTGGACAGGTTGAGTTTAAGGAAGTGAGCAGCCATCCAGTTGAAAATAGCAGAGAGGCAGTCAGAAACACGAGTCAAGGTGGGCGGAGAGAGATCAGGGGAGGACAGGTAGATTTGCGTGTCATCTGCATATAAATGGTATTGGACACCAAAAGAGCTGATGAGTTTACCAAGGGAGGCAGTATAGATAGAGAACAGTAGGGGGCCGAGAACAGAACCTTGGGGGACGCTGACAGGGAGGGGTTGGGGAGAAGAGGCAGAGCCAGAGAAAGAAACACTGAAGGAGCGCTGGGAGAGGTAGGAGGAGCACCAGGAGAGAGCAGAATCCCGTAGACCAAAGTTATGGAGAATGTGAAGAAGCTGTTGATGATCAACAGTGTCAAAGGCGGCAGAAAGATCAAGGAGGATTAGGATAGAGTATTGGCCGCGAGATTTAGCAGCAATTAAATCGTTGGATACTTTGGTCACAGCAGTTTCGACAGAGTGACCAGCGCGGAATCTAGACTGAAGGGGGTCAAGCAGAGAGTTGGATTCAAGAAAGTCTGTCAATCTGGCGTAGACAACTCTCTCGAGGATCTTGGAGGCAAATGGCAGTAGCGAGATAGGGCGGCAGTTGGATGGGGAGTTGGGATCGAGGTTGGGCTTTTTCAGAATTGGGGTTACGGTTGCATGTTTGAAGGCAGAGGGAAATGTGCCAGAGGAAAGGGAGAGATTGAAAATGTTAGCTAGAGGAAGAGCAAGAGAGGGAGACAAAGTGCGGATGAGATGCGAGGGAATAGGATCGAGGGAGCAGGTGGTGGGGCGGGAGGACAGGAGCAGAGCAGAAACCTCTTGTGCTGTAGCAGGTGCAAATGAGCTTAGGATGGCAGGGGGAGTGGGGTTGGGTGATGTATTGATACTGGTTGGAGAAAGATTAGAGATCTATTTCCTGATTGTAGAGATCTTCTCAGTGAAATGAGATGCAAAGTTTGTAGCGGACAAAGTGGTGGAAGGAGGGGGAGTCACAGGGCGAAGAAGTGCATCAAAAGTGTGAAACAGGTGTTTGGGTTGGTGGGACAGTGTGCTTATGAGGGTGTTGAAGTAGCTTACTTTTGCAGAGGAAAGAGCCATGCTGTAGGAGCGCAGCATAAATTTATAGTGGACAAAGTCAGATGCAAAGTGAGACTTTCTCCAGCAGCGTTCAGTAGTTCTGGAACATTTTTGGAGGTAACGGGTCAGTTTGGTGTGCCAGGGTTGTAGTTGGGGGTGCTTGCTGCGTTTAACTGTAGGAGGTGCCATGATGTCAAGTTGAGAGGAGAGAGTGGAGTTGTAGAGTGAGGTTGCAGAGTTAGGGCAGTTGTGATTTGAGATGGGAAAAAGGAGTGTTTGGAGATTAGTGGAGAAGTGCTGGAGATCGAGAGAGTTGAGGTTTCTGCGAGGTTGGAGAGTG